GCAGCAACAGCGCAGGTTTAGAGGACTACCCCACCCCGCCGTCACAGCACAGCTACACCTCTGCCATGGATGCCACGCCCAAGCATTATCTGCACCTGCCCAACGAGCACCCCTACCTGACCCCCTCTCCCGAATCTCCAGAGGCTTGGTCTAGCCCCTCGCCCCACTGCGTGTCTGACTGGTCCGATTCCACCCCCAGCCCGGCAGTCGCCGGTCCCAACCAGACCCAGATCCCCCACGTCTCAGAGCCCAACGGCAAGATGCAGGTGTTCGCATAAAACAAGCTGAACTTCTGGGACCTGTCGAGAGTAGAGGAGAAAATCTCACTCTAGGGCTCATGTATTTTTTGTGCTTTTAATTACACGTCAGCCCATTTCCAAGATTTTAATTGGATTAAGGATTGACTTGGTGTTCGTTGAGAAGACCCGTCTGCCGGTTTTTGTCCGCAGAAGAAAAGAGTAAAAGGGAAAAAAATTGTGTTGTCTTAAAAAGAAAAGACAATTTAATGAAGTAAGACGTTCTGTCACAGATGGACTTCTTTTTTTATTATTAAAAAAAAAAAAGTATATGAAGAAGAAAGAAACCACGTCTTTCATTTCAAAGACTTGGGGACACTCACCTGAAACTAACAAACTGTTTAAAAAGTAGAATTAAGAGAAAAAGTGAAAATTTTGAAGGAAATTCCTTTCTTTTTATTTATTGTCACGACATGTTCCTCTAAAAACTGCCTTGTGGGGGCGTCCTCTCCGTCTGTCTTCAGTTCTCACAGTCAGATGCATTTGTCTCTTGCCATGCTGCTCCATATCTGTTACGTGAAGCACCTGAGCTTAACAGAAGTTCCCGTGCATGCTGATTGTTACAGAAATAGAGGCTCGTTGCCTTTGTTTGTACCCCCGTGTCGGCTTTATCCGTCATCACACAAGCCAGTGGAACCCACAACTATAGTTACAGACAGAAAGAGTTGGGCGTCTCGCATTTTTTGAGTGATATTATTTATTTAGGCCAGCATTGACAAAAATCGGCTTCCCAAAATGCGTAGGTATGCATGAATTGGCCAAAATTAGTGATATATTGTAATTTGATGAACTAAAGTGAACCGATACATTCCATCGGAGTAATGTGTAATATTGTCAAGGGGCATCTTTGAAGCACTTCTGAGGCCATGCATGTAAGGGTTAACGTGACAGCTGCCATTCCAGAACAGCATCCATGTAGACTGACATTCATTAATGCATTATCGCTAATCGACACTACTGTTTAAGTGCTGATGTAAGTGGTCAGTTTTAGATCCTGAATTAAAACTGCCTGTCAATGACCTCAAAAGGGCCTAGCTTCTGTCACCCCTCACAGTCCTTCAGCTTGTTCAGAGGTCATTTGGCAACACTTAAACTGTCACCCTCTGCCCTTTTGTCTTTTTTTATTAATTGTACGAATTTCTGGTTTTTTTTTTATTGTTTTTATTCTGTATGTTATAACCATGGTTACCTTTGGAACATCGCTATGATGTGCTAAGCTGTGTTTTTATAGGCTGCTGCTTTCTGTCACTCTACTGTGACATCTCTGTCTCTCTCCTGGTGAACAGTCCTGCTCACTGCCCACAAATGGCTGGCTAGTGGCCATCCCGAGCTTCTGGTCTTGTCCATTTCAACACTGCCACAGCCTCTGCTGAAACCTGACCAGAAGAAAGCGTTTTCGGTTGCATTCTGACCCCTGGTCCCGTGGAGCTCGAGGCTTATAACAGTAGGGCCTTGTTTGCCAGACGAAGGAATGTGTCGACCAAACGTACCAATGTGGCTTACAATGAATAAAATATAAGAGCCATCAGTTTGCATAATGCATAGTGCTAATCGGTGGCTCTTTGCTTCCATTCATTATAAGAAACATTAGTATTTTGATTGAACCGTTCCTTTAGGCCTACTCTTTGAATGAAGACCAAGTAAAAGACTAGGCATCATATAAACAAACAAACCCTGGGTGCTCCATCCTGTTGGTTCATTTCTGTACGGTCCAGTCGTATTCAGGCCGCAATTAGTTAGGTGTGAACTCCTGTATGTGTGAAAGGGGTGAATGTCTGGAGAGGTGACTAGCGGGCTGCTAGCGCTCTGTTACTCCTCAGGGAGGTGTTATATAGCATGCAGTGTTGTCTGCATCTCTAGCAGTCCCCACCCAGCCAGCCTGGAGGGATGGTGCCTGGCCTTCGTGGTCAAAGTGGAGCTAACGCTGCCATGTAGCGCTGCCCCCTACTGTCTGCTACAGGTACAGGTCCTTTTCTCTCTTGGAGAAATCCCGTCCCGAGCGCAAAATCCATTTGTTAAAAAGCTTGACCCATGGTGTACTGTGGTAAGGGTTCACAAGATTGTTGGAAACAAGCACCCTTACACTCTGACTCACTGACTGGCTGAACTCAAATACACCTGCCACATATGAAACACCAAGCTGCGCAATAACAAATGGTTTTGGACCTCAGTGTTTTTTTTCTACATAAGGGCTAAAAACAGGCCACCCTCCAGTTCTCTTTCTCAAATCCTCTTTTTTTTACCCATTAGCCTTCAGTCTTCCCGCAGTGCTCTGGACATTTCATAAACCCAACATCTTGTAAATACAATTGTCTTGTTTAGGTCTATTTTGTGTAAGAGAAGTCTTATGTTTCTAAAAAAAATGATTATGTACTAAAAATGAGAAAAAGTGTACTTTCTATTAGCATTATTTTTGAAAGGATGTGACTGATATATATTTTGTCTTGCATTACTAGAACAGCCATAGATATTTTCTGGCTATTAATTCCTATACTTGTTTAAAGTAGTTTAAATCATTGTATATAAACACCTTTTCACATTGTTTCTTTCTACAGACAAAAGTTGTAAAATATGTTACTTCTAATAAAACAGTAGGGAACTACATTTCTCTCCCGTCTCCTTCGCTGTATTCTGTCCAAACACAGCACTGTTTTAACTGGAAAATGAAGACCTTCTGTAATCTTCATGACCAGGGCTTGACTGGGAGCCAAATTCAGCCCTGGATTTTTGTCTAGACCAACCCACTACAACCACAGTGATGACCTTCCCCTACCACGATCCCCAAAAACTGCAACAAGGCCTGCTGTCATAGTTAACCGTTTTGTTTCAAACAATAATAATCACAGAAAATAATTTATATTATCTTACATTAAAATATATCATTTCATGATGAAAATACAGCTTTGAAAGTGAAAATAACTGATCATGCTTTCATTAAGTTTAAGTGATCCTAATGAACTGCTTACTACTGATTCTTCAGTGCTTTTCATGTACAATCTATTGTGAATGGATTTTTCTATTTCCGAACATAGTCTCAATGGGATTTAAATTCAGTCATCCATGTCGTCATAATCTCAAATTCCTCCACCTCAAACCACTTAAATCACTTGACCAGCAGTTGCACTGCTGCAGAATGCGGAGTCATTTTTGTTGTTTTTCTCTTTTAAGTGAAATAAACCCCTTCAAAGAAATTAATAGACTTGCTAAAAATAGTTTAGAAACTTAAATGCATATAAGCCACTGTTTTTGACTGCCAGTGTAAGAAACTGCGCGGTGCTTTGTGGAAGACTGTATATGATAAACAGTAGAATAGACCAGCATCAGATGAAGTATGAAATACATCCTTTATTTAAATGTTATGTTCCAAACTTTCTGGAAACACAAACACGTATGTATGAATGTCTCGCAGTATCTCCCTGTATTTTGCTCCAATTCCTTAAATTTTAAGAAGATGCCAAGTCCGCGCTGAAGAAAAGCATCAACACCTGCCACACTTATACTTTACAGCAGGGATGGTATTTGTTGAAGAATGCGCAGTGTTAGGTTTGTGTCACACATTCTATATAGGTATGTATATTAGGGGTGAAACGATTAATCGACTAAACTCGACGACCAAATTAGTTGACAACCAATTTAGTAGTTAATTAGTTGGTGGCGTCATCACGCACGCATTTTTCTCGCGCTCACTAGGAATGTTTTGACATTACAGCTCACTGGAGAGTTAAGAACAGCGCGACGGCAGCCTCGAGAACAAATTCCTCAAAAGTGTGGGAGCTAAAGGTTGTCAGTGGTGCTATTTGTGAAGCCGACCTTGGCGGACGTGGGACCACATCCTCCATGTTGGAGCATCTGAAGAGTAAACTTGTCGGCTCACTGGGTGAAGAACACTGCTCGGTAAGACATGCCGCGTCCCAAACCGCACACTAGCACACTAAACAGTGTGTAGAAATAGCGCATATACCACTAGACGTGCTCTCATTAGTGTAGTGTGTGATTTGGGACACGGCGATAGTTGTGCTAGCGAGCTATTTAGCTAATGTTAATGGGGTTGTAACAGAGAAGCAAGTAGCTGTTATTCACAGCGACTATGTTTACTTTCCGGATTACGTTTACAGGTTAAACACTGCATTGTCGTCTTAGCGTCGAGGCCACCGGTGCGTTCAAACATAGGAGAGCGACTGCGAACAGTTTTCTGTTCCCCACGAATGTTTGGCTCCACTCGCTAACAGTTTAGCTTAGGTAGCTGGACGAAGGGTCACCGTTGAAATAAAGTGTTTACACGAAATCATTCTAATTTAACTGTTCATAGAGAAGTTTCCCACAAACGTTCGCCACTTTCCCATCCGCCCCATCAGAGCGCGCCTCCTCTGCAGCGGGGAGAATCTGCTCTCAGAGGAGATCAAGCCTCTCACAGGAGCACGGAGAGATGCTGACTTTCCACCGTTGTAAAATTTAGTTGTAACAGAGTTTAGACAGACAGCAGAGCACAGATCAGACTGCACTGTTTAAATTTAACATTTAATTTTTATAATGTTTTTTTATTTACTTAAAGAAAAACTGATGTAGTTTTATTTTATTTTATTGCTGCTACTTTGCACATGCTTGGTTATAAATATAGACAGGAAAAATATATTTAAGTTTTATTTTTTTATCTTGTTTTAACAGGAAAGTTCATTAAAACAGTGAATTCTTGAATGTTATTAATCTTTATTGTCTTTATTGTTGGTTAGCAAATGCATAAAACAACCTCAAGCTAAATTTAAAACCTAACAGGTACATAAAAGTTATTTAGTAATGTAGTGATTCATAATCCGAATAATCGATTATTCGTTTCAGTAATCGACAGATTATTAGACTATCAAATTAGTCATTTGTTGCAGCCCTAATGTATATGTATATATATTAGACGCGATTTGTGTCGCTTATATTTCATTTATTCAATTGGCAAAATGCAATTTTTTGTCTATAAAATAAAGAGAGGTCTTGATTCTTGATCATAAGGCATCATCAAATTTTCTACACTGTAGAAAAAACTTGTTTTTTAACTTAAAGTGGTTAGTTACTGGGCTGCTTTACATTTGTGAGTTTATTACAGTTTTTATATAGTATGTTGACAGAATAAGACTTATGTTATTTTAATAAGTTCTAATGTTTCTTCCACCTCTCTGACAGCTGCCAGGCCTGTGGACAGTATTCATATGTAGTTAGACCAGCTTCCTCAGAAATTCTAAGTCCATGAATCCTGCTCATGCTACTGAAGATTCTCTCACTCTTTAGATTTCCCCATCCTCTTCTGCAGCATCCGCATGACGGCCAGACTGGCATTGAACACGCGGCCGTGCTGAAAGATCATCTTGTAGAAGGCATCTATAGGCAGACGGCCTGTGGGGTCCGCATGCTTCATGGCCGTCATAGGAGTGTACAGACGGTTGGTCTGGTGACGGAATGGAGGGTTCTTCGCTACAATCAGCTGGTGGGTTTGCTGCAACAGATTAAAGAGGTTTTGTTTTTATTCAATGAATTAGATATTAACATACATTTGACATGTATGGAATCAAAAATTGTCACTTTTACATTCGTCATCTCCACTTTTAACATATCGAAATATATGTCATTAAATGTTCAATATAGTTAGCACACATATTTTAAAACACCACATATACTGCAAATATATGTACATATAATTTTCTTCCATATAGGTTTTCTTATACTATTCAATTCACCACCTACTGAGGGCCCTTCCTCACCTCTGCAACCTCCTCTGGCGTCTGGCCCAGTGAAGAGAACACCTTTCTGGAGTAGGGCAGGTAAATCTCGTGGAAGATTCTGGCCGTTTCTTCATCTGTGCTTGACAGGTCCATGTTTTGCATCTCCTCATAAACCTTCCTCTCAAACTCGGTCACCACTGGACCCGGCTCCACCAAGGTCATCCTGTAGACAGTGGGACAAGTTTAATAGGAAATGCTTTCCAAAATAAACCCAAATGTGAAATAATGATATGAATGAACTCATCAATTATAGAAAAAACAAAGATGGACTTCATGCAACTGCAAGGCCACCTCAGACTGAGAGAGGCTTGCACAGCACCTAGCTGTTAATTCAACTACTTCAGCTACTCCTGCTCTGAGGAAAAAGTTCAACTAGTATCCACTGTAACTCACTTAATGTTAAACTTCATAGCTTGCACAGCAAGGCTCTCACAAAAGCCCTCTACTGCGAATTTTGAAGCAGCGTAGACATCATTGAAGAGCAGCCCTGCAAGCAACAAACATCAGCTCATGCAGTGGTGGAGCATCCTCTAAACTACTGTTATATATGATAAATGATGTCTCTTTATGACGTGGGTGGCAAGTTACAATCCTGGAAATCACAGAACTGCTGTTTCCATGTTCGTAAGCTAAAGCTAATGAGTTGAACTGGCTTTACTAGAGCAGGGAAAACATTAAATTGTGCAGTGCTGTGAATCTTCAAGCAAAAAATTTAATTAACTACTATTAAAATAACTTGATTTCCCTCTTAGACCAAATGTAACTGATAAGCCAAGACATGTTTGGTCTACAGCCTTTGCACTGCAGCTATGAGGCTGACCACTAACAAGTAATGGAAGATTGCATGCATGCTCATTTTTTGGCCAAAATAAAATTCTCACTCTGTTTTCGAATGTCAAGAAGTACTAAATTCAGATGTCCAGTGCTTGTTTGATCATTGATCTAGCATTGTGTTGCAGAGGTAAGCTGGTTTGTGCCAGAGGAGCAGCATCTAGCTCCAATCTTCCTGCAGCTACTTAAAATAGGCTTTAATCACTGTGATGGTTTTACTGAAACATAGTGTTGTGCCCTTGAATTGGGGTAATAAAATATGTAATACTCAAGCATAGAGTTTCATCTTTCCTGTTTTATCAAAGCACTCAAGAGAGCGTCCCCTTCTGGATGTTTACAGACCAATCAACTTCCTTTAGTACACTTCAAGCTCCAGTACGGAAGAGCAGATGAACTTGGGCTTTCTTGTAGGACAAATAACACTATTGTATATAGTATATATATCCTCATACATTTTTATAAAAATATATGCAAACTCTTTGGCCAAGTATGAGCTATAAAGCATTCAGTCGCACATAAATTCTTCTGGTATAAACTGACTGACTACAAATTAACTGATGAAGATGATTATGATGACGAACTCAATCAAACACAGTTACACTCCTTTAAAAAAGATAAAGAGAAAGTAAAACTTGGTGTATTCACATGTACAGTGTGTTTACGGTATTTTGAAAAATAATTTTGCTTGATGATACGACTCTGGACCTGCATGTTATGACATCACATATGCACAACACTGGTGGTTCTGAACGGTCAACCACCAGTCCTGAAAATCTAAAGGAAACACTGTGCTGTTTTTAGCTATTTTTATGTATTACAGAAACCACACAAGCAAGTCTATGTGAAACTGGCTCGGCTGACTACACCTGGGGGAAAAGGAAAATCGCACATTTGATTTCTCACTGAACTACTGCTTTCCGGATTGCAGTTCCCCTGCTGGTCTGCATACAACAGGGGCGTCACGATACACATATTATTATCACTTTTTTTATTCGGGGGTTACAAGACAATAAATGCTGTAAATTGAATATATTTATATTTCATGTTATTATGCGTGATCAAAAAAACCTTTACAACCACTGGAAGTGGAAACAACTGGTTTGGATGGTTGATCAGCCAAACTGTTTGAAATGGTCAGGTGTCTTAGTACAGTAATGATGGGCAAAGAGAGGCAGACCAAACAGTGACAGCATGCCAACACTGCTGAACGTGAAGATCAAATGCCTGTACTAGTATCTCAAATATGCTGATTCACTTGTGAAAATATCAGCCAAATATATCAGCGAGAGGAAACACATTCACAACACGTTATTTTATGTCTTATAAGAAAATGACTTGTGCCAGTTGTCCTTTCAACAAGCACTGCTGTCTTTTAGAGACAACAGTGGAAATGACAAAAAAGTTTTAAGAATTACTCAAAAATCAATTAACACAAAAATAAATGATGTTAGCATTTCTTTTCTAATTCTGTATCAATAATGTATCGTATCGTTATGGAAAAATGACAGTACGCACCATAACGTGAAATTTGTGTATCATTACACCCCTAATAAACAATATGTGACGGTGTTCTGTGTGTACCCTGAACACCCATGACACTGCTCATCACCACGATGTGGCCACTCTGGCGCCTCTTCATGTCCGGCAGCACCTCCTTCACCAGCCGCACCAGCCCGAAGAAATTAGTGTTGAAGAGGTCCTGCATGTCCTTCACGCTCTGGCACTCCAACGGTCCAATCATGCCCATGCCTGCATTATTCACTGCACATGGGACAGGGGTGAGCTTCCCAAAAGCATAGCAAAATATATATAAAACAGTACAGTGAGAACCACTTTGAACACTTTCTTCACTAATGAAGGTGAATTCCACACTACAGAGCAATATAGACATTTTATTTAATGTCCCAAACAACCAGTGAACCTACACGTGTGTTTTCAATTTGTAATGGTAATTATGGTAAAACAGTGGTAAAAAATATGTTTTCCCTCATCCTGTATTAAGTAATGTATCTGAAAACTATTGTAAAACAATATCTCGGGCATATTCTGCAGCATATCCATAATAATTTTATGAACTAACTTTGTTATGTCTTGCTTTAAGGGGATTTAAATGCTTCGGACATCTGGTTCCTATCAGCACCACTGTGAACAATTCAGATGGTAAGTTTGTTTAAAACAGAGCATTTCACATCAAACCACTCTGAAAGACTTTGTTTACACCTTAATGATTGTATTATGTCAAACTTTTGAAAAAAATGTGGAATTCCCCTTTAATTACACAATAAATACCATAGATATACTGTTTTTTCTTTCTGCAAAACCAGACTTCATGCACAATAATAACTTTTCATAAAATGCAAATTATAATAAAAATATCTCATCTTACACTTGCTTATATTATGAATCCTAGCATTCTTTAAAATATGGCCTATTTATTCAGGTCTTCAGACTGAAAAGAATACTATAGAATCATCAAGAACCCTGTGAGTGTGGCAGTGACAGTGCTATACTGTCTGCTTCGTGGTTAGCACTGAAATAATCTATTTATGCTCTTTTGTTAAAACACAGATGAAATGTTTGGAAAAAAATACAAAAACATCTCTTACTCACCCAGAACATCGACCCGCCGCTCTGGCAGGCTGTTCACACACTCTCTGATGGAGTTTTCACAGCAGGCGTCCAGCTGCCGGATCTCCATGGTCCTGTTCAGTGTCTCTCCAGCTGCTCTCTCCAAAGCCCCCCGCTTCTCCACGTCCCGCATGGTGGCCACCACTGACTCAAACACACAACAGATGAGTGTAGTTGATTTATACAGCTGAGCACAACATTTAATACATCTATTTTAAATATTTATTATTTATTTATTATGATATTTATTATAATAGAGCATTTTAAACGTAATGCAATAGTGCTGGATGATATATCGTCTATCTTGTGACATTGCTTTTCAATTTTAGTGATATTTTTAGTAATATATTTAATAGATATTGAGCATCACACCCATGACATAATGTTCATAACTTTGTAGTATTTAATTGTATTTTGTGCTCTTGTAGTATCTAGAACTTGACAGTTAACCCCCTAACAAGCCATGGGTGAGCCGGCAGGCCCGAAGGTTTATTGCACACTTCTATAACCTAAGAATAGCTCCTTTAGTTTTATACTGAAGTCCCTGTAGTTACTGAATAATAAGCCTTTGTATGAAATAAACCTGGATTGTTAAGGGGTTAACTACAATGTATGTTATTTATTATGTACTGAATAAGCAGTAAGTTTTTATTCCTTCTCCATACTCTGTAAGGTTCCTTGGTGCAATTTTGCATGAAAAAATGAATTTAAAACAAGCTATAACAGGTTTATAAGACATTCTTCTAGGATAGAGTAGCAGCACTCAGAAAGCATGTTTCACTTGCTTCACTGATGCAAACCACAACCGATACTGTGATATACTTGGAAAATATCACAGTATTGAATTATCACCCAGCACTAATAAGCAGACAGACTGACTGATTCTGTTAAACATCAGCATTTTTCTAACCTTTGAACCTCTTCAGTTCATCCTTGGCGAGTCGTACCGCTATCGCCAAACCGATTCCAGAGGAGCACCCCGTCACTAAAACTCTTTGTGTTCCCATAATGCCGTGGGCTTCAGTCAGAAACAATTTCCAGTCTAGGACCACAATAAGGTGACAATGCAATGTTACAGCTTCCTGTCTTCGTGTGAGCAGTGACAAAGGCCCTCTTTCACCCTCCAGCTCCAACTCAGATTAACTCCTAATCTGGTTTACGCTCCTCGGATTGTGTTTGAAGTCGTTGCCCCAGGTCTACAACATAAACTCTGCGGCAGACACCATCTGACCTAGTTCTCCTCTGCATGTGCTTAAATACTGCCTCATTACTTTGTTCCTCAATGAGTAACACAAGGTGGAAAAGAGCCAACATGTTCATTTAGACACGGACCAAAAACCCAACTAATGTAAAAGTACTGTTACTTCAATTACACAACTAAAAGTAAAGGTAGCTGCCAAAAAACAAATCAAGCTAAACAACTTCTTAAAGGGGAATTCCACCAATTTTTCTAAATTTCTTCATAATTTAATGGTTAAGATGTAAACATAGTCATTCAGAGTGGTTTGATAAAATGGTGAAATGCACAGTTCTAGAAAATTTTGAGAGTCAGAATTGTTCACACTGGTGTTGATAGGAACCAGACTTCTGAAGTGTTTAATACCTTTAAACGCTCCCTCACAGAAAGCCATTTCAAGAAATGGTTACGAATACACTGCTTGATGTCTGAGACACTGTTTCACCATAGTTTTGGAATAAGGTGTTCGCCTTTTTTTAATCCATTCATGGCAGAGAGGCACATGCAGAACAATATCAGACAAAACAGTCCCCAACGATTTTTTTATTTTCAGATTTACTGCTATTTTACCAATATTAAAGCTTCATGTAAAACCTCATTTGGTGAATGTAAGCAGGTAAGTTTCTCTACAATAAACCATTTCACATCAAACCTTTTTGAATAACTGTTTATATCTCAAAGACAGAATTATTCAGGAATTTTGAAAAATCTGTTACTTCTCCCTTAAGTCCTGAGTTATCTATAGTACTGCAGGAAAAGTACATCCAGCATCCATAAGCATACTGAAGTTTATTAGGTAGAATTCTTTTCTTTTTGGTATTTTATTTTTCTCTTTTTGGTCTAAAATAAAATGCTGAAGCTCCAATGTGAGCCTTTTAACAGTAGTTTAGGTGCTGTCAACCACAGAATAGAATGAAATAAATTCCAAAAAGATAATTACTAAATTTGAATAATAAGTTAAAGGTATTATTATTTGAAAATAACCAGAAAAGTACAAATGAATCAAGTTCAAGTACATGTTGGCTTTAACTGAGTACCTGTTGTCACTACCCACTGCTGTTTTTACATTACACAGACCAAAGAAGACAAAAAACAGACTAAGGAAGAAATAGAGATTAATAATATTAATATTAGAGATAATATTCAGCTCTATACTTACATTGATTTTACATCTGACAATAAACATCCAGCTCACTTTGAAATTACAAATAAGGTCTTATTTTGTTGGCAAGAGGACAGAAAATCAATAAAAACAATTCAAGATTATGTTAATCATTTTTTTCCTCAGTAATAAGCAACAAAATGAACCACCATCAAAATGTTTGCGTTTTCAGCTCAGACACTTTATGAAAAGATCTCTAAGTTGACACTTGTTTTCAATGACTGTAGAAGCAAAAATCTACAATTAGAGTAAACCTCTGATCAAAAATTCATAAAGATATCAAAACTCTGTTAGCATTGACAAGTAATAGCGTATCTTAGCAGGCCTGGGTCTCCTGAAAATAACAACATATGGCATGTAAGACTGTCTCATGTTAATACTTCATTACTGTAATTGTAACTTAATTGACCAAAACAATTACACCATATTATCTTAGCGTTGTATGTATTAAACCTGTTAACAGCTCGTACTCACTGACCACTACTGCCCGCTGGAGAAAGCTGTGGTTCCTGCTGAAAGCAGCTCTCGATGGCTGTAAAGTAATAAACGCGTTCCTGCTAACCGACTTCTTTTCCCAGCGCATTTTGTTTCTCGTGTATCACGTTACTGCCCTCCGTCAACAGGTCAGCAGGACACTGGTCACAAACCTGTAGATCGCGCAGTGCCTCAAAGCACTGTGGGAATTGCAGTTTTTAAGAACTCTCGCGCGCCGCAGCAATCAAAGGATTTCGAGGGTGTACGTTAAAAATGATATATGAAAGCGGGATCACACTCATTCAGTCTCTTAAAGTGAGAATGAAGCCTTTTAGGCCATTTAGCAGTCTATCAAATAAGCCTTTTTTGACGAAGCTGAAATTGGCTTTTTTGAGTTTTCCCGTTCCACCTTAAACGGTGCAGCAGTTACGCAGGGGTAACTGCTGCAGCGTTTAAGGTGGAACGGGAAATTTCAAAAAAGCCAACTTCAGCTTCGTCAAAAACGGGAACGGGGAAATTCGAACAAGAAGCTGACGGATACGAAGCTGAGTTCAGCTTCGTCTTTATGTGAGTACCATTTAAGGTGGGACGGTAAAATCAAAACAAGAAGCTGACTTCAGCTTTGTCTTTATTTGTGTAACATTTAAAGTAGAACATTTAAGGCGGAACGGGAGAATCCAAACAAGAAGCTGGGGAGTAAGACGCTGACTTCAGCATTGCCAGTTTGAGTAACATTTAAGGTGGAACGGGAAATTCCGAACAAGAAGCTGAGTTCAATTTTGTCTTGATTTGAGTAACTTTTAAGGTCGAACATTTAAGGTGGAACGGGAGAATCCAAACAAGAAGCTGGCGATTCAGACGCTGACTTCAGCTTCGTCTGTTTGAGTAATATCATTTCGTGTGTTTTTTAATAGGCGTTTGGCGACACCTGGTGGTGGTTTACTGAAAGCGCTCTCGGTTTGGAAACCGAAAGTGATCTGTTGTGAGTGAAGACCAGGAAAACGAACCTGCACACATTTCAGGACGCATTTCTGGTTTTGCTGTTGTGAAAGAATAACGGACTTTGAGAAATGAGTCGTTTTCAGCAGGAAGTGGAGGTAAGCTGTATTACTACAAATTGTTCTAAAAGGGGTTTAAATCGTTATGTAGTCCGCAATGGAGGTCCAGAACGGCTGAAACTAAGCAAATACACACAGCTGTCAAACCCACAAAGCAGAACGGAAATCGTAAATGCTTGATCTGTGTGCCTAATAACATAATACGTGCATGACATTAGTGCGAAATTTTAGTAAAGGTTGCTATACGGTCCTTTATTTACATCTTGAAGTGTATGTGAGTGTGATTTGTAGGCCTAGTTCGTCTTAGTTCATGTATGTACCCGTTATAAAGTACTTCTGCTTGTTGTCCTTTGTGTCTAATAGGGAGACAATGGAGGAGATAAATATAGTTGCAGTTAGTTCTTAATGTTTTGGACATATTGATGTTTTACAGTATGTATTTATTATATACACCGATCAGTCATAGCATTAACACCACATCATTGTTTCTGCAACCAAATTGTCCAGTTTATCAGCTCCACTTACTATATAGGAGCACGACTGTAGTCCATCTGTTTCTCTGCATACTTTGTTAGCCCACTTTCATCCTGCTCTTCAGTGATCAGGACCCCCACAGGACCACCACAGAGTAGGTACTATTTGAGTGGTGGATCATTCTCAGCTCTGCAGTGACACTGACGTGGTGGTGGTGTGTTAGTGTGTGTTGTGCTATTATGAGTGGATCAGACGCAGCAGTGCTGCTGGAGTTTTTAAACACTGTGTCCACTCACTGTCCACTCTATTAGACACTCCTACCTTGTTGGTCCACCTTGTAGATGTAAAGTCAGAGATGATAGCTCATCTGCTGCTGCACAGTATGTGTTGGTCATCCTCTAGTCCTTCATCAGTGCTCACAGGACGCTGTTGGCTGGATATTTTTGGTCTTTAATGTCACTGAAAGCTACATCACATGACATATTACTCAAAATGCTTATGGATATATTGCCTGATGCGTTCACTTACAGTAGTTTTTGCTAGATTTTGGCCTGTATGTAGGCAGAAAAGTGCATGCGGGGTGTGGAAGGCAAAATAGTGCCCAGGGAAAACTCTTTTGTTTTGTTTTTTTTTTTAATTTTCTGGTTTTATCATTCTCAACATTACAGATAAACCCTCAGAAAATACACGTAGGCTCACTGGTGGTTTTGGTTAGTAAATAAAATGGCTATATTTGTGCTGTCGATGTCAAAACCCCTGGTTCCTATCACTACCACTGTAAATGATCATCGGAGTCATTCATTTTCTCTACAGTTAACCATTTCATATAAAACAGTCTTCATGACATTGTTTATATCACCAAGATTAATTTACCCAGATAACAAGCATATATTGGTCCGCTGGCTTCATAAGGTTAGCGCCCCGCTGACTGTTTGCCATTTCTGGTCCACCCTTGGACCACCAGTTTACTGTCTTGCATACTGTCCTGCATCCTGCAAGTTCTGACTGTTTTTTAATCTCCCCAAACAGATTTTAAATGCACAGAGACTTTTATTTTAGAAAATAAGCTTAGAAAAATATTGCAAACAACTGAGAGAAAAAAATAATGACTAGGCCTAATATAAAATGATTTTATAGAAAATGTTGCTGACACTGTGCTAGATTCAAATTATTTACTAAATAATTTACAAAGTATAAATAAAGAAAGAAAACGAAGGAAAAATAAGTAAATTAGACTGTGAGTGGAAAATGAGTGATGGTAAGTGGAATACTGCCTATTACTCTGCCTATCCACTGGTGGGCCACTGAGCAAAACCCAAGTAGACCACCAGCTCTGCCATCGGCGGGCCGGCAGTGGTCCGCTATCCTCTTGCTATCAGGGTACAGAGCCGTTTTGAAACATCAGTGAAGTTTCCCTTAATGTTAATTGTGTATTTAATAGTTACTCGTCAACAGGAGATAAAATAGATGTTCAGCTAGTAGCTGGTAACCTGTCCACATAATATGAGGGACTTTAATTATTAACCTGTCAGACAGGAAAACTCCATGGGTTTTATGTTTATTTGATTTCCAACTAAGAAAAGCCGATAATGAGAAATAGAAAGTGAAGAGCCTTTTGCTCAGGTTGTTACCTTTGAACTTACTGTATATGTGTTGAAGTTATTACAGGTGTGGACTGTGAAGTGCTCTGTTGTGGTGCTCAAGCATATCTACATGAATCTGAATGCTCTGCTCTGTTCTGCTGACTCAGTTGGAAAAAAGCGTAAGGCGACTGAGGGAGAAGTTCCATGGGAAAATTCCAGTGGACAAAGCGACTTTACTCATGCAACGCTATGGAAATGACCACCGAATGGTCGCCATGGAGATTGTCTTGATGAAAGACAGAGGTAAAGGGAGGGGATGTTTGGGTGTGTTCAGAAAAAACCTGTTCTGCTTCTTTGAAATTGCATTGGATGTAATTTACTTCCTTCGTAACAGCAGTATAGCACCCGTGTCATGCATTGTGTTCCCTTCTACTGCATGCATTATCTAATACACAGACTTGGATGAAGAGGACAAATGGTCTCTGAAGAATGACCCAGTTGTTAGGGTAAGGTGCCCTCTCACTTGGGATCAGGACATGTAAATACAATTATAGGATGCACAGAGCTTGTTTTGCATGAGTGAAACAAGACTGAATGCATTTCCTGCTTACTTTCAGAATGTTGTTCAGAAACTGCAAGCTGAGGAAAGAGAACAGGTAACAGTTTCACATGCCTCCTTTCACCACCTGAGCATTTAAAATGGATGTTTAAAAGAAATCAAATTTAGGCATTTTTTCTGTTATTCAAAATGGGAAGTATGGACAAAATTCAAGCTTCAAAATGGCAGTTGCTATGCTAACATACTTTTTCCATTTTAACAAGTTTCCAAGTTTTCCAAGTTTATTTGTCATTTGCACAACATGTCAGGACATTCATGCATTGAAATGCTTGTGGTAAGGCTCAGGTAATCGCAGGGCAGCATGATATACGTACTAAAAACCAGTGCAGACAAAACAAAGTAAAAATACAAAAGAAAATACTATAACTGGAATATTAAATATACACAAAATATAGAGACAGGAGGGACATACGTAGAAGAGCTCTCTGCTATGTACAAATATATTAAACAAGGGATAATCTGAGAAAAAATATATTCATTTTAAAGAGATATTTAGTGTTATTGTCCATAGCAGTGATATGGTATAATAAATAATACCGACAAAGTGACCGAGTGAAATGGTGACTGGGAAAGGACCCACAGCATCACAGTATGTCAGCGTCAGCAACCACTTAAGCAAGTCTATTTGACATTTATAAAAACTCAACACGGTTTAAGGCAAGTGTGCAGTTAGACGGGGTAAACATTCCCATTGTTGGGAATTTCTCTTGTTTGTCCCTTTCTGATCCCTCCACTGAACCTGTTTGCTCTCTCTGGAAGCTTCGAGGAGTGTATCAGAGAAAAAATGACACAAAAGCATCAAAATTCAGAGACACAATGTAGGTATGTTATAACTGAAGTTTGGGGGGAAGAACATGCCTGAAACACCTCCTTCTTCCAGTCTCCCATCCTATAAATTCACATCCTCACCTTCCATTCCCATGGCGAAGGGTTCACACTCCCCACTGCCCCCCTATCTCCTCCCTGTTCCTCAGTCCTACATCAGTCCTACTATAGCTATGAGGGGGGTCTGGCCTTCTAGCTACAGGCAGAAGCTGCCCAGAACTCCAGCCCAAGTTCTCAGAGTTCTCCCCCCTCCCTCAATCGGTCTTCCCTCATACTACCACCCTGTTGAAGGCAGGTCTGAACTCACAAACTCAGGACAGCATTTTTATACTTCGGCGATTCCAATAGATATATATGATTAACATTAGAGATATGGTGTAATTCATACATTTATAGGTTAAGGAAGTTTCAAACAAGACATGTATGGTTATGGTTGTAAGTCTGGAGCGCTTTGCAGAACAGCTTAGTCTACAGAAACAAATTCTCGTTTTTGGAAATCCGTCATTACAATTAGCTCCATAGCTCGAGTGCACAGCTAACCAGTGGGCTTCCCGTAAACGCCAGTCCAGTGGTCCAGCAGCTTTGCCGTCAGCACGCCAACAGTGGCCCTTTATCCTCTTGCTGTCTGGGAAGAAGCAAACTATGGACACCAAACATGTCTTGGCTGATCGACTAAATGGGAAAATTGTGCAAATTAGATTTTTGACTAAGCCATCAGCCAAGACATGGACAAAATGTACAAAAGTGCAGAGCTTCAAGAAGACCGCTACTGCTATTTTTAGCTATGCACTTTTGTGCATATTATAGATAACATAACGTGATATTATAGTATCAGAAAGCAAGTCAGTTTGAGATTACTTAATAACTCCACAAGGTTTGAAATAAGTGTGTGATGATTTAGGCAGGCTGTTAGCATGATGCTAATTTGTGGGGTACGGTGCGTTCGACTGAAGCTCGGACTAGAAAAAACTAAGAAAACTGCCTCTTAACTGGGAATTCCTGTTTGAAAAGGTCTTATCTCAGCATATGACGTCTAGTCAGCGATAAAGTTCTCTGCTTTGAATAATGTTTGTTTTAGATCATCACACAAACACAGTAGTGGGCTATATATAACACTGACCTTACAGTTCACCGTTTTGAGAATATCACTAGCGTTAGCTGGCTAGCTTGTTGTTAACAATACTTGCTTTTTTGGAAGTGCCCTTGTTTTTCACACTTTTTAGCTTAAACACACAAAGGTCATGATACAATTCGCTCCTTCTGCTTTCCACTTCCAAGCTAACCGCAGCATTAGTTTTCATTTCTTGTTAGCTACATTAGCCTTGTAGCTCAAGTGCAAAACAAAGCAAACCAGGCTGATAAACAACATATGGGCTAAGGGGGAATTTGTGTAAACTTCACATTAAATGAATTACTCTGTGAAAAATTGCTTCGTTGTAATGTCTGAGATTTGATCATCAAAACTGCAGGGTGAAAGGGAAGCGAGGTCATCAGGAGCCAGTGATGACTCTGGACGCTCTGACAAAGTAAGTAAAGTTGTCAGACTCTACTGTGTAATTTAAAGGAGCAGTGTGTAAGATTTAGTGGCATCTGGTCAGTTGGTTTCAGATTGCAACACCTCCCCTTCAGCCCTTCCTCACCAATTGTGTAGTAGAACCTACGGTGGCTGCCATGTTTTCATTTCTTTGATGAGAAGGATCCACCCTCCCCTGCTTTTTTGTGCCAAATAATAAGTACGACCGTCCATTTGGGACAATTTGGGTTCTCAAACTTCTCACAACACAAAAAAAAACGTACACACTGCACCTTTAATATAAGCGATGTAGCACCAGCACCAGCCTAAACCCTTCTGTCTCTCTGCAGTCTAAAACAAACAAAGGGCCCAAAGAGGACAAGGACATACAGGTCAGTCACCTAAAGCCCACTTTCAGTCTTTTGCTTTTTCAAACAGTAAAACACCTCTGCAGCTTTATGAAAACATCTGAGGTTACTAAAGGCAAACAATGGTTGCTGCACGTTTTACCTCACATGTCAGATGTTAGAAGTTGTCATGTTTAAGCTTATGGGTGTGAGTGTGTGTGTTTAGGAGCTTGGGAAGCATCTTCGTATCCTGCCTCTGACCGAGAAGAACAAACGCATGTTTGATCAGGCACAGAAGAACCAAATGCCCTCCGACATCCATCAGTTTGCCTGCCCGACATGTGACCAGGTGTGGTGGCGACGAGTGCCGCAGAGAAAAAGGGTAAAGACCACAAATCCTCACACCAGTATTCTAGTCTGAAGTAGCAGCTATTATATCTGACACGGTCACCTTAGCAAGCTTAGCAAGACTGTGCACACTGGCAGCACATAACAAGGTAACACTGACTGTAGCTAGCGATATAAATAGCTTCACTTCAAATATAAATGTTTAACTTCAAATATAATCCTAAGTGTTATCCACATATCATTACCTAGCAGAACTTAATGAAAAAAAGTCATGTTAAAAGTCACCTGAGTATTACGACTACAATGCTATTTTAATACTAGTTTAAAATTTCAGTTTAATGTTAGTGCCAAGCTAACGGTGGTGTACATTTACTTCTCACACAGGGTTTAAGACTTCTTATGCCAGTTCTACTTAAACATTCACTCTAAATGTTACTGCTAGCTTGTTAGCTGCCTGCTGAGCTGCTCAGCCTAGACATAGTTAAAGAGGACCATTCACTTTATAAGCACATAAGCAATTATTAATAACAGCAAACAATTAATTTAATCTCAAATACATGTAATTTGCAATTACAAGCATACGTGACATGATTAGTGAGGTCCTGCTGGTGTGAGTTTCTTCTTTTTCACCCATGTAAACTAAAGCATGGAGTGGTAATACATGCCTTAATTCACATGTGAACTAAGCAGATTGATTGAGAACATATATTTGAATAAATTATTTTAACCAAGTAATCAAGTAATCGAGTAATCGTGACAGCCCTAAATTTTACCACATAATACAACATAACAGTAGGTGAAATTATTACGCATTTCATAGTCAGTATATGCAGATTCTAGTGGATATAGAGCATATATAACATATATCTGTCACCTATACGTCACTTCTACCTCACACATACAGTACCAGTCAAGTTTGAACACACCTAGTTGTAGAAAGGTTTTCCTTATTTTTACTATTTTAGGATAATAGTGAAGATGTCACAAGAATGAAATAACACTTATTGAACTACTAAAAATATATTACAAACCTATTTTAGATTGTTTAAAGTTCACAATCTTATCATTCTCTCAAGCAGCTTCATGAAGAGCCACTTGAGATGCTTTTCCAACAGACTTTCTGAAGATACATGTATAAAGAGACCTTCTTAGCTGCTGAAACTACTTTGGGAGCATTTCAAGAAACCAATATTCATATTTTTCTTTAAAACAAATTTCAAGCATTTGTTCAAAATGTTTCTAAGATTCTGAAACAAAAATCTTTCAGGTGTGCCCAAACTTCTGACTGGTACTGTATAATGTCTGTTTAAACTGGGACTCATTCAGACTGATGCCTACGACTAGATGGAGGCATATTATTTAGCTGATATGCTGTGGGATGATTTCAAAGCAGAGTAATGTGAGTACATAAACTGTTAACATGTGGGCTGGGATCTTTTTTAGGTGTCTCGCTGCCATCGATGCAGAAAGAAATACGACCCAGTGCCACCGGACAAAATGTGGGGCATTGCAGAGTTCTTCTGTCCAAACTGCTCTCGATCGTTCAAGTAAGTAAAAGTACTGAAAGAGCAGGTGTGCTGAGCTGAGGCCCTGGAGGGTCACAGCAATGTAGAGATTTCCCTGCTGTAACACATACAGCTCATACAGTCGGATGCAAAAGTTTGAATACCCCCAGTCAATGTTTTGTTGATTTTCTAAGTAAAAATAAGTTAACACTCCTGCACCCCCAGCCACCAGAGGGAGCCACCAGAGGGAGATGAAGAGTAGAACCCGGCTGATTAGGACTGATGATGATCAGTTGTGCTCACTCAATTTAAGGAGAGCACACACACGGGTCCCTGCTCAGTCCTGAGTTCATGCTGCTGTGAGCACTTGACCCTTGACCAAGCTGGTAACCTTTGGTATTGCTCTCTTGAGCTAAGGGTCTTGGGCCTTTGGTCCTCTCGAGTAAAACCCCCAGTGTAAGTATTTAAAAAAAATATAAAAAGGGGAAAAAAAAACAAAAAAAGAAAAACACCATACTCTTATGTCCCTTTTATTGACTACCTTCCCTGCAGTTTTCTGAAGTTCTCTTTTGTTCTGAACGCTCTAGCGTTTCTTTTGTTTGTCCTTCTCCCCCCCCCCCACTTTTGTTATCTTTCCCCCCACAAAACCTAAATCTCCTTAAATTGAGTGAGCACAGCTGATCATCATCAGTCCTAATCAGCCCGGTTCTACTTTTTGTCTCCCTCTGGTGGCTGGGGGTGGCTGAGCAGGAGACAGAGACTTTACAGTGTTTTTGATTAAATTGAAAAAAAAAATATATATATATATATATATATATATATATATATACATATATATATATGTGCTGAAACTACTGCACAGGCCATGTTTTTTTATCTCAGTATGATAAATTCAGCAAATACAGAGTAATTTTGCATTAAAATGTGCAGAAAGGTGTTCTCTGTCAAGGAGAGAAAATCACTTAGAAAATCAATGAAACATAATATGACCGGGGTGCACAAACTTTTGCATATGACTGGTTATTAGCTAACAAATACTTTGCCTAGGCGTGTTAGGAGTGGTTTGGTGAAAAATAAAAAAAATTCCTTTACCACAAATGCATTCATTCAGTCTAGTTTTCAAAGTTTAGTTCTTTAGTTTTGCACTGGAGGGGTCATTCATGTGTTCCCAGGGTTCTGTGCTCCTCAGGCCCTTTATTTTCTCACTGAAATTTCTGGAAAGTAGCCCTTTGTTTCCAAGCCTCTGTGTTCCCTCTTTTTCATTTTTGGAAACAGTCTTATATTACCAGCTTCCTCATTGAAATTTTCATGGGAAACATGTTCTCATGTTACCTCATATCATATCTCCTTAATATGAAAAACAAGATTAACATCCATACCTCTTGAATATTTACAAATGTACATATTCTAATGTTATTTGTTCAGTAAGTCTAAATTGAAATTGTGTTTATGATAGATAAATAGATAGATAGATTACTTCATTAATCCCAGAGGGAAATTCTTCTATTGCAGCAGTACTTCTATTGTGGCTGTATGATATGACATAAGATACACAAAATAAACAAACTAAACAAAGTGGCAGTGCAATATGAGTGGCTCAATGTACAATAATGTCCTGGTACAGTGACGAGGTGTAGTACAGCGCGATCGCTTTTGGCACGACTGACCTCCTGTACCGTTCATTGCTACAGCGGAGTGGAATGAGCTTGTTGCTGAAGGTGCTCTGCTGTGTGACCAGTAGGTCATGGAGGGGGTGTGTTGTATTGTTCAGGATAGCAGTGAGTTTATTAAGTGACCTCCTTTCAACGAGCACCTCAAAACCATCCAGTGAGCATCCTGAGACAGAGCCAGCCTTCTTGATCAGTTTGTTGATCTTATTTGCATCTCCCCCTCTGATGCTGCCTCCCCACCAGACTGCTGCAAAGAAGACAGCACCTGCAACAACAGACTGGTAGTAGATCACCAACATCTTGGTGCACACATTAAAGGACCTGGGCCTTCTCAGAAAGTAGAGACTGCTCATCCCCTTCCTGTACACAACCTCTGTGTTGGCCATCCTATCCAGTTTGTTGTCTATATATACATGCTGCTTCCTAAAATCCCATATTAAATACACACTATGACTAAACATTTCAGAAGAATGAGAATCTATTCAGTGATAGATTGCATTAAAATATTTTAGTCATATTTTTATTTAAATTTCACAATATGAACAACATTGCAAAACATTAGCACTTTTGGCATCTGTGCTAACAGTGGAATCTTTGAACACAGACTAAACAACATCTACCCTCCGTTTCAGTACTATTTTTAACATGCTTGTGTTGACTTGCCATCACTATTCCCCAAGGATGCAACGGTACAATGGGCCCACGGTTCAGAATGTGTCATGTTTTTTGGGCCGGGTGCCTGTGTTAATTTGTGTTTCAGTTTCTTTCTGTGATATTTAACAGAGTTTGGGAATTACACTATATAGACAAAAGTGTTGAGACACCCCTCCTAATTATTGAGTTCAGGTGTTTCAGCCACACCTATTGCTCACAGTTGGATAAAGTTAAGCACATAGCTTAGATAGACAAACACTGCAGTAGAATGGGTCGTACTGAAGAACTCAGTGACTCAGAGGATGCCAGTCAGTCAGTTTTGTCCCTCTGTTGAATCACTCACAAAAGAGTTCCAGATTGCCTCTGGAAGCAACGTCAGCAAAAGAACTGCATGTTAGGAGCTTCACAAAATTTTCCATGGCCGAGCAGCTACACACAAGTCTAAGATCAAAATGCACAATGCCAAGTGTGGGGCGGAGCGGTGTAAAGCACACCACCACTGAACTCTGGAGCAGTGGAAACGTATTCTGTGGAGTGACAAATCACGCTTCTCTATCTGGCAGTCTTATCTGCCTGAGTGCATTGTACCAATTGTAGAGTTTAGTGGAGGAGGGATAATGCTATGGGGTTGTTTTTCAGGGGATGGGCTAGGCCCCTTAGTTCCAGTGAAGGGAAATCTTAATGCTTCAGCAGACCAAGACATTTGTATACTGAAGCATTACACATGGACTGTTGTATGCTTCCAACTTTGTGGGAACAGTTTGGGCAAGACCCTGTTCTGTTCCAGCATGACTGTGCCCCATAAAAGCATGGCAAATATAGAAATTTAATGTATCATCCAAAACCATCAGTAAACCTATGCATGTCTGAGTTTTTATATGTAATGTTGATGATGGTAAAATAGTGGTAAATCTGAAAAAATAAGTTTCCTTTGGGGATTATTCCACCTCACATCGCCCTGCATGTATCGCTCCACCTTTTAAAAAATACATTTTAGGCAAAAGCCTTATCTCAGAACTACTGTAAAACAGTGTCTCAGACATCAAGCAGTGCATTTGTAACCATTTAATGAAATACATTCTGTGAGGTAGATTTTAAAAGCACTAAATACTTCATATCTCTGATTCTTATCACCACCACTGTGAACAGTTCTGAATCTGTTTTTCTAGAATGGATCCAAATCTTTTCCCCTTTAAGTGTACAAACATGGACTTGCATCCTTTGATGACACAATTTGCACAGCTGTTTCTTTAAAAGCTGTGGCTCTCTAGGAATGCAGTGTCTCATTTTAGTGCTCATTAAAATCCATTCCTGTGTATTCCACACAGTAATGTTGACAGTGAGGCTAATGTGTGTACATATACAGGCTGTGTGAATGAATTTCTTAACTCAAATACAATTGCAAATTATGCCTCGATTCTTTGATTCATTCTGCTTTTCTACCAGGGGGTTTGGCCGAATGGACCTGGGCTCTCCCTGTTACGGCTGTCGGTGCATTATACTGCCAACGCAAATCCTGCCTCCACGCAGAAGCACAATGGACCAAGGCCCTAGAAGAAGACAGCACAGCTGCCTGGCTGAGGACTGCTACAACAGACAGGGTAACATGCTGCTGGCCTTCACTGGACATTAGCGTTGCACAGTTTAAACATGCCTACTGCACAGCAAACTGGGCAGTTAAACATCTTACCCCAAATGTAGTCAGTCAGCCAACACATGTTTGTTGTTCTATAGTTTTGCAGTGGTGCTATGAATTTAATGTTCAGTACTGTGGAAAAGTCAGAGACCACCATACATTTACTTTCCAGTTAAAACAGCTATTACAAGTACAAGTTATTAATTTTTCATGACATGAGAAGAAGACTGAAAAATATACCTGCAAAATTTCTTTAAAAACTGACAGCAAGTCTCGCGAAAAGAATGGAAGCTGTAATAAAAACCAATAATGGACACCCTAGATGCTGAAAAATGCTATTTATTTGTTGAGGCTTTTGTGTAATATTCTGTTAAATATATGTTTTCTGAAAAATAAATAACATAATATCTGTTTAGACTGGAAACTGAATGAACGAAAGCACGGTCTCTGACTTTTGCACAGTACAGTACATTAACAGCATGTCATACAAAAGCCTGTCTTAGCTGAATTATAAATTTCACTAAAATATTACTTAAACAGAAGATTTTTTATTGTTTACCAATTGAGCCCCTCTAATGAAAAAACATATCAACCATTCCCCTCTTTTCTGAATGATCGATTATTTCGTTTTCTGTTTTCTTTTGTGCAGCCTTTTGCATTAAAAAGCCACCCTGTTCTTTATTCAGGTTTTAGTGACCCCTTTCATTTAAATACAGGGCATCAAACAATGCCAAACCATGCTTATATGATTTTTACCAAAAATATCACATAAACTGTTTTTTGTTGCAAGGGCTCATTTGTCTGTCTGGATCTGTCTGTTGTAGAGCCCCATGTGCCTGGGACAGAATGCGTCCACCCTCGCAGCAGGCAGAGGAACAGGAAGCCACAGGTGGTCAACCCCAGCATGGCCCACATCAGCAGCGGCTCCACGGTCAACACGTGCCTGAGCCAGGGCAGCCTGCTGGAGCAGGTGTTTGATCTCATCATGGACGACATCGGTGAGGAAGAGAGCCAAGAGGAGTCGGACAGCAGCGGCAGCGGGCACAGCGTGAGCAGCTGAAGCGATTGTGTCCGCTGCTCCGACAGGCCAAAGTTGCATTCAGTAAGAATGCTTGGTTTCTGATTGTAAATGTGTTCTAGCCTGAGGGAACCTCCCTGCTGTCTTAATGCAAAACACTGTGCATTTCCTTTTAAAGCATGTGAGGACAATGCACAGTGCTTTGCTCTTGGAGAAGCAGTGACTTCTCCAGAATTTTCAGGAATCTGCAGCATATTTGTATTTCAATTTGCACAAAATACACAAAAAATAAGGGCGTCCGTCGGTTTTGTATACTTGTAATTGGGTAGCTACACTGATAATTCATAAACTGTTCATTCCATTCCATACTTCTGTCCTCCAGGGACAGTTTAACTGAAGGACTGTATTGCATATTATGTGTTGCACTGCACAGGAAGATAAACTTTGTAATTTAAAAATTGTAACAAACCTACACTGTAGTGGAGAGTGGAGCACAACCTAGCACATGTTTATTTATTGCTAAATAATTCTACATATATTTTAAACATTAATCATTCTTTTACAGACAACTTTACAGATACTCCCTGTATCAGTTGTAAAAGTGCCTACTGTGAACAATTTGTCTGAAGGCAGTAACAGTCACAAAAAACTCTGGTAAATGGATGCAAACACTATTAATTCAGTTAGGGATACAACGATATGAGAATTGCGTGATATTCGATATTTTTGTGCGTATATCTCAGGGGTCGGCAACTCAAACGTTAAGAAGAGCCATTTTGTCCTTTCAACAAAAAACAAACTACCTTGGAAGCCACAACATTTCATGTCCACTTTACTGAGATCATTTTTTACCATCTTGGCTGTAAATATGTTTCAGTATGTGCTGATGTGCTAGTATAGGCTAAAAATACAATATAAACAAAAACACAGACTTACTTTGCTTTGCTTTAAGCTTTAGCTCAGCTATATCCACTTTTCTCACATCTCTGGCAGTAAAATGTCTCTCAACGTTCGATTTTTTGCAAAGTTGAAGTCGCTTCTCATTCGCCAGCGTCTCGTTTCAATTTTCCCGTTCCACCTTAAATGGTGCCTGAGATGCCAGAAGGTGAATTCTGCAACTGCTGCACAATTTAAGGTGGAACAGGAAAATTCAAATGAGAAACTGACTTCAGCTTGTTTGACAGTTTCTCATTGCAGATTAAACGCATCAGGAAACCACCTGGAGTGATTATATGCAATTAAGTCCATTTGTCTCTAAATCATCGATGTCCGTCTTAAATCCCTCTCTTTGTCTTTTCGTTAGCTGCTAGATAGGCGAGACTGCTGTCTGCATTGTTGTGTGACTAGCAGTCATGATCTTCAGGGTTAAAGGTTGGTGAATTAGCAGTGTATAAGACCATTTATGAATTAACTCCAGCATTTAAGACCATTTATTGTTATTTTATGATTATAAAATATATTTATATATATATATATATATATATATATATATATATATATATATATATATATATATATATATAATATTTTATTTCTACCAACAAATCTAATTCAGCTGTGGAACCACAACATGGCTCTGGAGCTGCATGTTGCCGACCCCTGGTATATCTCTTTCATGTATAAACATCTCTCTGATGTATTTTTATTTTAAGCAATTATCTGCTGATACCGATATGATTCTGATTATTGTGCATCTCTAAATTCAATATATTTCACTGAGGTTTGACCTAGATGAGCCTTTCAACTTAAATACACAAAAATATTTATTTCTGACTACAAAGTATAATAGTAAATATCAGAACAATAAAATTTAAACTTATTACATTTGTAATGCATTTTTGATCAGACCCACTGTGTGGAGGCTGAACTTTAGCCTGGCTAGCTGTTGCTGTGAGTTGATTGTATGCGTCAAAATGGGGCATATTACAGCCACCAAGAGGGTAATAAAAATAATGTTGGTGTTAAATGTGTAACCTTTGCTTTTATTGTTCTTCAGATTTAGTCTTGAAAAATATCTGTTTCACAGATGATGTTGCTATGGGAATATGAGAAGAGCCAAAAGCATGTTCATTTTCCCTTTGAGTGTGTTAAAACCTCCATGTTATGTTTTACTCTGTGTTAATTTGTGCCCTGCTCTCTCCTACAGTATGTACAAAGCAGCTGTTAGGGCTGATGATTTTGCTGCGGGCAAACCAGCAAAACAGCGATTACCTTCATGTTTTCAGCAATGCACTGAAATGTGATACTTACAGAATTACATTTTATCTCATATTTATAGGTTTACGTTACATTTAATTGGTCCTTGTATTTGTATGTGATTGATCTCATGGAGTGCCACAATGAGAAGTACTCAGGATGCAGTTTTGTAAGATCTTATGCTGAACAGTTATATAACGGTTTATGTGAACACTGTGCAGTAAATGTGCAGCAAGATTTCAAGCAAAAAAATGCTATAACAAGCAGTTATTACCACATTGTACAAACCATAAGGCTTATTATTCAGATATTATGCAAGACTGAATATTTAGTTCTTGTACATATTGCTACAATAAATTGAGGATCTGCTGACTGAACTCTTCTGTGGAAATCGATGTCTAGTAGGGCTGCAGTATTTTGTAATTGTTGGCGTGGTATTGGCATTTTACCAATATGTAAATGAGTCTTTTAATGTTTAACATTTTATGAATATGTTGACCAATCACAGATGAGCATCCTGACCAATCAAGATGAGTGCTTCTGAGAGTGTTTTGATGAATCGAGGCTCATTTAGTCCACACACACACACACACACATTCATTTTCTAAGCCGCTTATGCTTCTGGGTCACAAGAGGGTGCTGGAGCCTATCCCAGCGGTCATTGGACAGAAGACAGAAAACACGCCAGTCCATCGCAGGGCTCTTTTCGTCCAACAAAAGTAAATTATTATGTCAAAACAATGCAGTCAAGTCTTTAACGGACAGTACATGTCCACTTGCAACTTTGCCAACATCTTTCACATTTCTGCTTATGCAAGTGATCCCTGCCACATTGCATTTAGACAATTGGGCAAGCACAGACTAGTCTGTGGCATGAATGGCAAGACGGTAGAAAGGAGCAATAGTGGTTGTCTTTCTCTTGTTTGAATCCATTACAGTTTCACATAATAAAAAAAAAAACTTGGTTTATACATAATAGATGACAGTGACAGTTTGATGGGATTGGATGTTGGAATGCAAGTAGTCTATGTCGTTTGTACTTAACATGCTAAGCTAGCTTTTTCGATCAGGCATGGTGCAATGTGGCCACAAAATGTGCAAGTGAATGTGTGCTGTAACTATTTGGCTGGCTTTACATGGCAATTTTTTGCATGTTGTGAATTGCCTGCAACATAATTTCTATGCAACTTTTGCAGTTACACAAAGCAATTCAGAAACAATTCATCTTTGTAAATTTTATTCCAGCTTACCATTCTTTATATGTCTTTATAACTGTTTTCTAAATGTATCTGTTAAGGGTTATATACAATATATTTGTGTTTATGGTGATATCTGTTCTTCGTATGTTAAGCCTTTGAAAATTACAGTTGTACTGTCTCGCTCATCTTGTCCTAGAAGCACAAGTTCTTCGTGGACCGTGTCTACGGTCCTCTTCTGTAATAATTATCATCCTTTGGATCCCGAGCAGATCTGAGCTCTGTGTAAAATCGGGGGCCATCAAAAGAGGAGAAAATAAATCTAGCTACACAAATCACGATAACAGCAGGCTGAAGAAGAGTAAATGCAGGAAAAGCAGCTGTTTATACAGCTGTTAGCTTTAGCTGGCTAGTTAACACAGCTGGTTACAGAAAGGCTCTTCCTTTCAACTGCCTTCCTTTCATTTTTTTTTGCAGTCAAGTATCAAATGAGTTGCAGGATGCTTTACATTGTACAATTTACAACTCAAGTGCATATTTGTTTCATGTAGGTTTCATGCAACAAAGCTTTGTCTTGCCACACACTATTCATTTCAGTGGCTTCATGCAATGCAAAATTTGAATCACCAAAACAGCTTCATGCAAATGAATCCTGCTGCTGCATTGCATTTATCCAATCAAAAGAATAGACGGCAAATGTGAAACTTTCTCTGAAGGTAGAGGGGAAACAACTGCACTCTTTCATGAATCCATGACAGCTTTACATAATGAAAATACTTGCTTTTATATAGAACGGTTGAAAGTAAAGTTTAGAAGGGGGAACGTTTGATTGGATGTCGTTCACATTGGTCGAGCAGGAAGGCAAATTTTTCAATCAAATGTTTCATAGGTTACTTTCTAAGGTATCTAGCTTGCTCATGAACTTGAGCAAGCTAATGATCTAGCTTGTGTGGACGGCCGAAGCATTCTGGAAATCATTAAAACATACAAACCATAGGTCTGTATTTTAGTCTCATTATAAGCCTCTGTGCAACAGCAAGCAGCGTATAGGACTGTTTACTATGTTTAACATGTTTAATTTGGTTCCTTCATTTGAGAGACTCAGTGCGGCAGAATGTGGTGAGAAAAAGTGGACACAAACAGTAACTGTTATGTTGTTGATTCACCAGTGCAGTGCATCAACTGCAAGATGCATTACGGTCACAATATGTAGCAATATAATCACCATACTGTGCAGCCTTTGTGTCCAGTCAGAAATGTTTGAAGCCCCGGCAGGAAGCTAAGAAGACTGCCCATGCTCTGTCCACTTTTCAAAGCTTTTCAAAGCTTTTCCTAGCTTTTTAATTTCCAAACCAACCAAAGGTTTCTGACGGTCATTTTCTAACAACTGCATTCTGACATATCTTTTTATATCGCTGCTGTGGGAACAAAACCTCTTATCTCACAAATGGTAACTTTACAGAAGAAGCAAAAAACATGCTTTACTTATAATGTAAGTCAATGGAACCAGACATTTTTACAAGTAATTTTGGGCCATTTCTTATGGTCCATCCATCTTAAAATTTACGCACAATATAAAGGACAGTAGGTTTGTTTAAAATTATGTCAAAAACTGAAAAACGACAAAAATGGAGTTAAGAGGTTTTGTTCCGACAGCAGCAATATCCTTGATTTTAAGCAATACTGATACAGAAACAGTGCCACAGTGCAGGCGCTAGAAACTGGAATGAATGTTTTATTTGTATGGTTCCTTTTAAAATCCCAAAACTGCACTTTCGCTGCTTTAACTGTTAAATAGCACCATGTTATTTTTATGATTTCTCAGGAACATTCTCCTTCTTTTGTGTACCACCTTTCACAAATGCTTATGTTCACTGTTATTTAGAGGCTCAGACTCCATACAAAGCATAGGTCTGGAGTTTAGCCTCATTGTACGTGGCCATCTGGTGTGAGAGGAATGAATTCACTACAGTTAGACAGTTTAGAGAGTTTAGAACCCCACAGTGGGTTAAGCCTCCTCACACCACATCTCACAGCACCATGAATCTACACAAATACACAAGTGTAAGCTGAATGTAGCCATTCCTCTGTAGGAGGGACATCGAGGTCTGCACAGCTGCACATTCTGCTGCCCGGCCTTGACCCCTTGTTTTTTAAAAGGCCTTTATGCTGTGCAGGCTTTTCATACAGAAAGCAGCTTTTGCATTGCTGCTTGAGTTCACTTATTTTTGAATGCTCATAAATTTGCATAGTATGTCTTGAAGTAGGGGTGGACCACATGGCAAACGTAACATGACGATACTTCAGGATATTTTCATCATACATGATACACGTCACAATATTTTGTTTTCCGAGGTTTGGTAAGTTGGAACAAACAAAAAGCTCCACATTTAAAAAAATTCTATCAAACTATCAATACTTTTTTATTCATTCATACATTCTACACTGCACTTAATCCAGGTAAACAGGTCCAGCT